TTTTTAAATTTTTTTATTTTATTATTTGTGTGTGTGTACCGTCAAATCAGATCTGACTGGTACAGGAGGAGATTGTCCCTCCTTCCTCGGCAGAGCATCTGGTGGATTCGAACCGTGCGCCTCTCAAGAAATGAGTATTAATGTGCATGATACCACTCTTAGTAATTTGTGTTCTGATTTTAAGATACAGTCGTTTTAATAATAAAGAAATCAAGGCATAGAGAAGATAAATAACTGTCCCAAATCGTACAATAAATGTGGTGGTGGTATTGATTGCCTTTGAGTGCAGTACATAGTGACCCTATGAACAAAAGGCCTAAAGCCCCTCTACAGCCATCGACATTTATCAAAGTATAGAGTATCGAGAGGCTTGTTATCTAGGAAGTCGATGCCACTCCTGCTTCCAAACCTGTCATAATATGTTATTGCTGTTATGTGCGATGTACAGCGACCCAATATACAGCATCTCTGATCCGTTCCTGTCCTGAGCCAGTCTCACTAACTCCACCACACCAACCTCTGGTGTTCCAGTTATTGTATCAATCCTTCTTGTCTGGGATCTTCCTCTCCTGTGTTGTCCCTCCACCCTTCTGAGCATAATGTCCTTCTCCAAGGACAGATTTCTTCTGGCCACGTGCCTAAAGTAAGTGAGGTGGAGTTTCAAAATCCTAGCCTCCAAGGAGAGACTTAGTTTTACCTTCTCCAAGACAGACCCGTTTGTTTTTATAGCAGTCCATGGGGTGTTTAAGACTTTTCCAGCACCACAACTCAAAGGCATCTATCTATTGTTCTTCTGTCATCCTTAGTCATTGTTCAACTCTGAAGCATAACAAGTAATTGAGAAAATCATGGCCTGGTGCATCTTTGTATCCAGACTGACATTGTTGCTCTTTAGTACCTAAACTAAAAATGATCAGTCACTCAGTGTCATTGAGTTGGTTCCAATGATCCTTCATTGGTTTCTTCTTTTTTTTAAATTTTATTTTACTATTTTGTGCATGTACCTTCGAATTGAATCTGACTAGTACAGGAAGCGATTGCCCCTCCTTCTCCAGCAGAGCATCTGTTAGATTTGAACTGCACGCCTCTGGGATTACAGTGCCTTCATTGGGTTTCTTAAATTGTCTTTACAGAAGAGATAAGCCTATCTTCTCACAGAGGGTGGCTGGCTGGTGGATTTGAACTTCAGAGATTTTAACTTTTTGGTGAGCAGCACAACATGGGCTAGGTCACCAGAGCTCCTAGACTAGAAATCACAGAGTCACCTTTAACCGATATACTTGTCTCCCCCAATGTCACCAGCTAAGCCAAGGCCTCAGACCCATCTTATCCTCTCAGATGAGGCTGAGTTGTAGTAGGAAGGAGGAAAAGACTTTTCTCAAGGGTGATACTATTTAAACAAAGGTGGTCGTTGTTGAGTGCCATCAAATTGATCCTAACCTGTAGTGACCACTTGTGACCAGAATAGATCTCCTTTGAGCTTTGTTGGCTGCAATCTTTATGGAAGCAGATTGCCAGGTGTCTCACCTGTGGAGCCACTGGGTGGGCTTGAATTGCCAGCTTTTCAGTTCACTCACTCTTGACAGGTCAGTTTCATCTGGTTTCCGAAGATGTGTATCTTGGTGGGAGGAGACATCTTTCTCCCTATGAGTGGCTGATGGGATCAGCCTGCCGGTGATGTTTCTGCTAATCGGACTATTTTTTTTATTAGAAGTGAAGCACATTGCAGACTGTAATATCAGAGCTCCTACCTTTCAGTTAGCAGCAAAGAATCAAACATTTTTGCTCTTTTGTTTCTTAACTGATTTTGAGCTCCTTGAAGGTAAAGAGCCTTATTATTGTGTCCCTAACACAAGATCTAGAGATTAAGTCTAGACTTAGTCTAGAGACAAAGGTGCACCTAATCTAGTCTCATGGTCTTTGCAATTACGTGCTATTCATCAGAGAGCTGGACAGTGACTAAGGATGACAGAAGAATCGGTGCCTTTAAGTTGTGCTGCTGGAGAAGAGAGTCATGAATATACTAGGACCACCAAGAAAACAAAGAGATCTGTCTTGAAGAGGATGAAACCAAGGTTCTCCTTGGAGGCCAGGATTTTGAAGCTACACCTTACATACTCTGTGCTTGTGGCCAGAAGGGCCGATCCTTAGAGAAGGACTTCATGCTCAGAAGGGTAAAAGCTCAGTGCAGGAGAGGAAGACCTTGTAAGAGATGAGTTGATATGGTAACAAGGGCAGTGGAGGTAGGTGTTTCAGAATCATTGAGACTGATTCAGGACATGCTTCAGAGCTTTTGTACATAGGGTCGCTAGGGGTCCCAGTTGACTAGAGGGCACATAACAATACCACCAAATCTGGTTTTCAAAGACCTGTTATTTTGGAAATAGATAGCCCATCCTACTTCCTAGTTTGTCTCAATCTGGGAGCCCCACCAAAACCTGTCCACCATGGGTTTGGCACATCCAAGGCAAAGATTTCAATATTATAGCAACATCAGGTTATCTCTCAGTACAGAAAACTGATAGGCAAGTGCTGTACAACTTAGAACAATGTTCTCTCCAAACACAATTAACACCAGGCTCGGGGCATTTGATTGTGTGGATCATAACAAGTTGTGGCTGATACTGAGAAGAATGGGAATCCCAGAGCACTTGATGTGCTTATGCAAAACTTATACCTGGACTTGGGGAGCTCTGGTGGCCTAGTGGCAAGATGCTGCACTGCAATCCCAGAGGTACACGGTTCAAATCCACCAAATGCTGTGCTGGAGAAGGAGGAGGCAATCTCCTCCTGTACCAGTAGGATCTGATTTGATGGTACACGTAAAAATAATACAATAAAAAAAAAATTAAAAACTTATACCTGGACCACAAAGCTGTTGTGCAAACAGAGCAGGGGAACATGGTTTGTAATTGGGAAGAGAGTGTGCCAGGGTAGTATTCTCTCTCCATACCTGTTCAATCTATGTGCTAAACAAATTATCCAAGAAACGGGACTCTGAGGAGGAGTGTGGCATCAGGATTGGGGGGAGACTCATCAATAACCTGCATTTTGCACATGATAAAGCCTTGCTTGCAGAAAGTGAGGAGGACTTGAAGCACTTGTTGCAGAAGATCAAGGAATGCAGCCTTCAGTATAGGTTGCATCTCAGTGTCAAGAAAACAAAAATTCAACAGACATTGGGGGGGGGGGAAGAAGAACGAACTGGGGAGGAGGGTGGAGAAAACAGTGCAACAATGAAGGAATGAAAACCCAAAATCTCTGTAAATGTTCATTAAAACTAATAAAATTTAATAATAAAAAAAAAAGAAAAGAAAACAAAGATTCTTACCACTGGACCAGTAGGCAATGTCATGATTGATGGAGCAGAGATTGAACCTGTCAACAGCTTCATCTTGCTTGAATCCACAATCACCACTCTTGGTACCAGCAGTCAGGAAATAAGAAGACACAGTGCACTGGCAATATTTGCAATTAAGCACCTCTCCAAATTATTGAGAAGTATTGATGTCCGTTTGAGGACTAAGGTGTGTCTGATTGAGGCCATAGTCTTTCCAATTGCTATGCATCTGAGAGCTGGACAGTGAGTAAGTATGGCAGGAATAGAATTGATGTCTTTGAGCTGTGGTGTTAGAGAAGAGCACTGAACATCCCATGGACAGCAAAGAGAACAAACCCTCTCTTGGAGAGGGTGCAGCTGGAGTGCTCTTTGGAGGCAAGAATGATGAGGCTTCACTTCACATATTTTGGGCATGTTGCTAGGACGTGCTATTCCTTGGAGAAGGACATGATGCTGGGAAGGGTGGAGGGTCAGCGAAGAAGAGGAAAACCCTCAACCAGGTGTATTGACACAGTGCCACAATGGGCTCTTGTGTCTCAGGAAATGTGAAGATAGCGCAGCATAGAGCAGGATTCAGATCTTTTGTTCATGGGGTTGCTGTGAGTCACATTTTACTCAGGAACAGCTAACAAAAACAAATCTGACAGATTTCAA